GGTGCGCCCCGCGGGCTGGGCCCTGTGTGCGGGGAGGGGGGGGTGCGGCTGCCGGGCCCTGTCAGGCGGGCGGAGGCGGCTTCTCCTCGGGAGGCCTTGGGTGAAGGACAGCTCACAGCGTCCCCTTGTCTTTGCAGCTGGGCGATATGGTGACGAGGCAGGCCCTGAAGGGGAGGGAGACGGCAGCTTTGCTGAGAGCGATCTTCAAAGGTGGGCGATCTCCGAGCTGCGCTTTGGGGTGGGTGGAGAGGGGGACTGTGGCCCCAGCCCTGCTGGTGCCTATGGGTGACTTTCAGGCTGGCTGGGTGAGGTAAGTGGTCAGCAGCACAAGGAAGTGTCACTTTGGGTAAGAAGCAGCCAGTCAGGGTCATCACAGGAGACTGGACATCCAAAAATAGATACGGGATGTGGGAAACCAGATTAATATATTTGTAATGAACCTGTTGTAAGTAGGCTTTACTTTTGGGAGCCCTTGAGTTAAGGGCTCCAGCTGGAGCTTAATTGCCAAGCTGATTCTTCTCAAGATTTTGACACTCCCTGATCTTGGGCAGCAGGTTGAGTGAACCGCAGGGTGTAATAACGGGGTTGAGTGCTTCAGCTATTTTATCCAAGAGATCCTCATTTCCTGTGCTCTGGTTTTCATCTGTTTTATCAGTTAAATAACATGGGGAGTTGCAGTCAGGTAGCAGTTTAGCCCTGCTAATTTCCTCTTGTTTAGCAACATGTTGTTACTTACATAACTTTTTTCCCATTCTTTGTTTTCTTTATTTTCTCATTATAAGGCTCCCCTTGTTCCCAGCAAAGCGGTGTTCTCAGGAGGCTTCAAGTTTACAAGCACTGTGTCCCGCTAGTGGAGTCAGGGGACCTGCACTTGGGCAAGGTGTCTGAAATCATAGGACTGCTGATGCTGGAGGTAGAAGTTCCTTCGAGCTGCTTTCCTGGGGTCTGCTGGGTATCATTTCCTATGTAGACTGAGGTATTTCACTAGGCCACTGAGGAAAATGAGTTGTATCCTTCCCGTGGATCTGCCCTGGACTAAGTTAGCTGGCATTGGAATTTGCTGTGTATGTAAATGTGGTTATCTTTGGATAATTATACTTAGACTTGAAACTCCAAACCTATAATTACATCAACTTGATGTACTGCTCTGTTCTGTAAATGACAGTATGATAGTCTTGGGGGTGAATTCCCCTTTTAGGGGAACATTTCACTGTAAAATGTTGTCCTTTGCTGGTTTCTGGTGACGGTTTGGACGCGTATGTGGAATTCTCCTGTGCGCTGCCTCAGGCTCTTTCATGTTGTTGTATCTTCTCCCAGGCTCGCCAGCTGCCAGGCCACGCGCTGGCTGAGCTCGCCGCCCTGTTTGTTGATGTTATTAAAGGCGGCAGCCTGTCTAACGGGAAATCCTTGGAGTTGTTTTCCACTGTTCTCACTGCATTGGCGAGTTCGAAGGAGAGCCTGGCTTATGGGAAAGGTAACCCTTCTCAGTTCCTTCTCCCCAGCCTGTCCTCCCATCCCCTGGAATCAGCTCCTAGCAGACTTTTGCTTTTTCAGGTGAACTGAATGGGGAAGAGTTTAAGAAACAGCTGATAAATACCCTCTGCTCCAGCAAGTACGTACATCTCTGCCAGCTCCACCGTGCTTTAGTCCATTTAAAGATCAGTCAGTGCCTAGTCTTATTTGGGCTGTTTTACAAAATTCCCTGTGATACCCTACAGGTACAGTGGGAGCTAAA